AACCTTTCCCGATACCTGTTGTCCGTTTGAATGTCCTCTTTGGAGAAATGTCTTTTCAGTTCTGTGGCCCATTTTTTAACCTGGTTACCTGTTGTTGAGTTGTAGGCATTCCCACATTCCCTGTGTGTTTTGGATGCGAGCCCTTTGTCCAGTATATGGTCTGCAAATATTTTCTCCGAGTTGCCTTTCATTTTGTTGATTTGTTTCCTTTGCTGTTTAGTTTGATGTAGCACCACTTGTCTGTTCTCGCCTTTGTTATCTGTGCTTTTGGTGTCTCCCATCAAAGAAGTCATTGCCAAGACCAACGTCAAGGAGCTTTTTCCCTACGTATTCTTCTTATTACTGTTTACAGTTTCAGTTCTCACTCTTAAGGCATTACTCCATCTTAAGTCACTCTTGGTCTATGGTATTATAAGAGTTCACTTTCATTATTTTGCAGGTGGACATACAGTTTTCCCAGAATCACTTTTTGAAGACTATCCTTTCCCCGTTGTATATTCTTGGTCCCTTTGTCAAAGAGCAGTTGACTGAAGAATTTGAGACCAAAGAAACTGAGTAATTTTGTTTCATGATATTGGAGAGTTAAAAAAAAAACATTAACTAGTTAATTGACATGTGACTTTTCAGTATTTCTCATCATTAAGTTAGTTGAGAGCCTCGTATAAGGCTCTTGACTGTGTCATCCACATTGCTAAAAATTCACGTATTCAAGTTGGCAACCAGCCTTTCTGTGGGATTTTTCTCTTTAAGAAAATGGCAGCTCTTCTTAAACGTGGGGTGGCCTTCTACTTGGGCATGCACAGTATTTCAGAGTTAGAAGACCCAGTGTGTTCTGGGTTGGGAATCCCAAGCAGTGATCCAGCATTTGTTTTCTCTTCCAAGATGCTTTTTTTTTCCATTGAAATATAGTCAGTTTACAAGGTGTTAATTTCTGGTGTACAGAATAGTAATTCAGTTATACATACATATATATATATTCATTTTCGTATTATTTTTCATGGTAGGTTATTGCAGGCTATTGAATACAGTCCCCTGTGCTCTACAGTAGGACCTTGCTGTTTATCTATTTTATATATAGTCATTTGTATCTGAAAATCCCTATCTCCCAATTTATCCCTCCACCCCCAACCTTTTCCCCCACTGGTAACCACAAGTTTGTTTTCTATGTCTGTGAATCGGTTTCTGTTTTATAAATAAGTTCATTTGTCTCATTTTTTTAAGATTCCACATATAAGTGATATCATATGGGTTTTTTTTTCTCTTTCTGGCTCAGTTCGCTTAGTATGACAATTTCCAGGTCCATCCATGTTGCTACAAATGGCATTATTTATTCTTTTTTATGGCTAAGTAATATTCCATTGTAAAAATATACCACATCTTTATCCAGTCATCTGTGGATGGACGTTTAGGTTGTTCCCACGTCTTGGCTGCTGTAAGTAGTTCTGCTGTGAACAGTGGGGTGTGCATATTAAGATGCTTTATACTTGTCTAATACTATTTATATTCCTTTGCTTGATTTCCTGTTGTGTTTCAGCCCCTTTGTTCAGTATTCCTGGATCAGGCTCCCCCCTTATCGTAAATCCCCATGGAAGCCAGCTTCTTCCTCCCCTTCCTTCCCTACTGCTCATCCTCTCCTGTGCAGTCCAGTCCTGCCTTTGAGCTGCTTTTCATGCCCACATGTCTAAAACCTCTGAGAAATATCTCTTTATCGTTCCCTATAAGGAAAACAAAATTCCCAGTTAAATTTGAATTGCAGAGGGTTTGTTTTTTTTAAGTGGTCACATTGCCCAGGAGAGAAATTCCTTGACCACATTAAGAGTGACCATCTCTATTGCATCAGCGTAGCATCATGGTCACTGAGAGGGTGGTATCAGCACTGCCTGCCCAGTTCCAGGAGCTTAGCATCCACTGGAACCTGCTGGTGTTCCCTCACCCTGGTCATCTGAAGTGGGGAAA